TCCACCTGTGCTGTGACACCCACACACTGCATCTTAGTCACCTTACATTTATATTCAGCTTTGTTGTTTAAACCAGACACCTTGTCAGGATGCCAGTAAGTGACAGTTTGTTGTGTTTATTGTCTTTGTGTGTGTGTCAGGTGTAGAAGAGGACTGAAGATGGCGGTCAGATCATCCGACATGAAGCAGCTTTCAGTAGCTGTTCAGGCTCTGCAGTGATCCTGACTGACCTCTTCATCATCAACCAGCAAAGCCTCTTTATTGGTCCCATCTCACTTGCTGTTTCCTGGTGCAGAGCTCTGAATGTCCACATAACTAACAGGAGATAATTCTTGACTTTGCTGTGCAGTCATGAAGGCCTTTTTCTCACCAGGAACATTACTTCCTGCTCATCAACAAGACAGCTTGTTTGCCTTTTTTTTTTTTTTTAGTTTTCTTCTGTGCATCAGATTTGTGAACATGAACCAACTGTTGATTTTGGCCAACCAACAGCCTTTGAGATCTCTTTGATAGGCATATTTGCTTTTTAAAGCTTCATTGTTATCTTCTCTTTACACCTTATATTGTCAGAGAGCTTCATCTAAATCATATTGTTTTATTTGAGTTTCAGACATTTTCTTGTCCAGGACTCGTAAAGGACAGGTCTCCTTAGAAAAAGAGGTTGCTAAACTTATTGTGACTTACCTGTTTGAATCAAGTTTCAACAAAAAAAAAATAAAAACTCCCAATCAGGTCTTTAAGAAACATTTAGTAGCCAAGCATCCGGTCATTTTAAACCCTCACAGCTGGAGCACTATGTGTTAAACAGAATATTTCTCCCACACAGTTCTGTCTACATTGATGCCAACCTACCAAATTAAAGCTGAGACCTGACACTTTAACTCAGTATCACTTGGGCGATTATTCTGTCACAGCAGCCCTGCTTTCTTGTGGAGTCCCCCAAGGCTCGATTTTGGGCTCAGTCCTCTTTTCATTATAAATGCTGGTCTAGAGGTTCAGTTTCGTTTAACATAAGATTCCTGTTCATTGTTTTTCAGACAATATACAAACCTGTCTGCTTAAAAAAATATAATAAATAGTAAATACTCAGGGCAGCCCTTGTGGGACTGCTCAAAAGGATATTAAAACCGGGATTGATTCTGGAGCTCAGTGAAAAGTAAAATTTAGATGGTTGTGTTTGGTCGACTGGGCCTTTTAAATGACCCTAATGACACTCTTTGCCCTTTGGCTTCCCAT